CGGACAGTCAGAGTGACTGACGGAAAGTAGGAGTGACCGACGGACAGTCGGAGTGACTGACGGACAGTAGGAGTGACTGCCGGACAGTCAGAGTGACCGACGGACAGTCGGAGTGACTGACGGACAGTAGGAGTGACCAACGGACAGTCGGAGTGACTGACGGACAGTAGGAGTGACTGCCGGACAGTCAGAGTGACCGACGGACAGTCGGAGTGACTGACGGACAGTAGGAGTGACTGCCGGACAGTCAGAGTGACCGACGGACAGTCGGAGTGACTGACGGACAGTAGGAGTGACTGACGGACAGTAGGAGTGACCGACGGACAGTCAGAGTAACTGACGGACAGTAGGAGTGACAGACGGACAGTCAGAGTGACTGACGGACAGTAGGAGTGACCGACGGACAGTCAGAGTGACTAACGGACAGTAGGAGTGACTGACGGACAGTAGGAGTGACCGACGGACAGTCAGAGTGACCGACGGACAGTAGGAGTGACTGACGGACAGTAGGAGTGACTGATGGACAGTAGGAGTGACTGATGGACAGTAGGAGTGACCGACGGACAGTCGGAGTGACTGACGGACAGTCGGAGTGACTGACGGACAGTAGGAGTGACTGCTGGACAGTAGGAGTGACCGACGGACAGTCGGAGTGACTGACGGACAGTAGGAGTGACCGCCGGACAGTCAGAGTGACTGACGGACAGTCAGAGTGACCGCCGGACAGTCAGAGTGACTGACGGACAGTCAGAGTGACCGCCGGACAGTCAGAGTGACCGCCGGACAGTCAGAGTGACTGACGGACAGTCGGACTGACCGACGGACAGTCAGAGTGACCGACGGACAGTCAGAGTGACTGACGGACAGTCGGAGTGACCGACGGACAGTCAGAGTGACTGACAGACAGTCGGAGTGACTGACAGACAGTCGGAGTGACCGACAGACAGTCAGAGTGACCGACGGACAGTAGGAGTGATCGACGGACAGTCGGAGTGACCGACGGACAGTAGGAGTGACTGCCGGACAGTCAGAGTGACCGACGGACAGTCAGAGTGACCGACGGACAGTCAGAGTGACTGACGGACAGTAGGAGTGACCGCCGGACAGTCGGAGTGACTGACGGACAGTAGGAGTGACTGCCGGACAGTCAGAGTGACCGACGGACAATCGGAGTGACTGACGGACAGTAGGAGTGACCAACGGACAGTCGGAGTGACTGACGGACAGTAGGAGTGACTGCCGGACAGCCAGAGTGACTGCCGGACAGTCGGAGTGACCGACGGACAGTCGGAGTGACTGACGGACAGTAGGAGTGACTGCCGGACAGTAGGAGTGACTGACAGACAGTCAGAGTGACTGCCGGACAGTAGGAGTGACTGACAGACAGTCAGAGTGACTGCCAGACAGTAGGAGTGACTGACGGACAGTCAGAGTGACCGACGGACAGTCGGAGTGACTGACGAACAGTAGGAGTGACTGCCGGACAGTAGGAGTGACTGACAGACAGTCAGAGTGACCGACGGACAGTAGGAGTGACCGACGGACAGTCGGAGTGACTGACGGACAGTAGGAGTGACTGCCGGACAGTCAGAGTGACCGACGTACAGTCAGAGTGACTGACGGACAGTAGGAGTGACCGACGGACAGTCGGTGTGACAGACGGACAGTAGGAGTGACTGCCGGACAGTCAGACTGACCGACGGACAGTCGGAGTGACTGACGGACAGTAGGAGTGACCAACGGACAGTCGGAGAGACTGACGGACAGCAGGAGTGACCGACGGACAGTCGGAGTGACTGACGGACAGTAGGAGTGACTGCCGGACAGTCAGAGTGACCGACGGACAGTCGGAGTGACTGACGGACAGTAGGAGTGACTGCCGGACAGTCAGAGTGACCGACGGACAGTCGGAGTGACTGACGGACAGTAGGAGTGACTGACGGACAGTAGGAGTGACCGACGGACAGTCAGAGTGACTGACGGACAGTAGGAGTGACCGACGGACAGTCAGAGTGACCGACGGACAGTCAGAGTGACTGACGGACAGTAGGAGTGACTGACGGACAGTAGGAGTGACCGACGGACAGTCAGAGTGACAGACGGACAGTAGGAGTGACCGACGGACAGTCAGAGTGACCGACGGACAGTCGGAGTGACCGACGGACAGTCGGAGTGACTGACGGACAGTAGGAGTGACCGACGGACAGTCAGAGTGACTGACGGACAGTAGGAGTGACTGACGGACAGTCAGAGTGACCGACGGACAGTAGGAGTGACCGACGGACAGTAGGAGTGACTGACAGACAGTCAGAGTGACCGACGGACAGTCGGAGTGACTGACGGACAGTCGGAGTGACTGCTGGACAGTAGGAGTGACCGACGGACAGTCGGAGTGACTGACGGACAGTAGGAGTGACCGCCGGACAGTCAGAGTGACTGACGGACAGTCAGAGTGACCGACGGACAGTCGGAGTGACTGACGGACAGTAGGAGTGACCGCCGGACAGTCAGAGTGACTGACGGACAGTCAGAGTGACCGCCGGACAGTCAGAGTGACCGACGGACAGTCAGAGTGACCGACGGACAGTCAGAGTGACTGACAGACAGTCGGAGTGACTGACAGATACGTGCTCAAAGCAGCAGTCTGTGTTCTCTGTAAACGACACTCAGACCCAGAGGCTTGTGTCCCCTCTACATGTGGGGTCTGCACTGTTACACTGAGGCCCCTGGGGTCTGCAGACGGGGGCCCCTGCTGCTGTGAGGGTGTGCTTTTCACAGCCTCCCAGGGCCCTTCTCTGGACACAGCACTTAGGACCTCCACCTCCAGTGACTGTTATGGCTCTGCTGTCGCTGAGTGGAGACTGGAACATCATAGTTTCATGTGTTTGGAAAGAGAGCCGCTCTGTTCTGAGGACGGTCGCACTGGAGCCAGGTGTTTGGGAATGAGATCCTGCTTCCATAAGGAATGAGGGGGTCACTTTGAGGACGACACACGTTTACTGCAGCTTCCTTCAGGGTTTTTGAAGGATATAAAGGACCTGAGGCTCAGAGTGGGGACCGTCAGAGAAATGGAGTCCTCAAATCTGAGTCTAAGACATTTACATAAAACACAAATGTATTAAAGAGACACAACAGCAGCGTGTTGTAGCGGTTTCCACGCAGCAACTGAACATCTGTTTGGTTTCACTGTAAAAGTAACGAACGTGTCACTTTTAACTCAGAAAACCACCATCAGAGGATTCTGCTCCAATGTTAGTGTTTGATGGAGAGGATCTTGGCCCAGGACCCTGCGGCTGTGAGGCGACGTGTTTAATCTCTGCTGATATTATAGATACATACGTTCATGAACAGTGATCACAGACTGTTGTAGTGTTATTATATATCTGTGTGATGCTAATGTGCTCTTCAGTCTTTCTGTGTCGCTCAAACTGCAGCTTGAGAGTGTGATGTTCCGACAGACTGTGATGATGATTCCTGTGAGGGCGTTAGACACTAAAGAATATACTGTACATAAAACATATTTTTGTAAAACGCATTTCTATCTTTAGCTTAATGCATACAAGAACTCTGACTTAGCGTACCAAAGAAGCAAAAGATCTCTCCCTTTGGCAAAAGAAGCAAGTCTAAAATCCTGTATATGTCCCTTGCATTATTTTATTAAGTTTATGTATTTACAAAAAACAGAACAAAAACAAACAGTGAGGTCTGTTTTCATGTTTTCATGTTTTCATGTGTCTAATGTCAGTTTGTAGACTTTGAAAATCAGCCTCGGCGACATCTGCTGTGGTGTTATTATCTATCCGACATTATGTTGATTGACACTTGTCCTTATCAAATAAATCAGTAAATAAATACTTAAGTATATAATCTGTCCCATTGTTCCCTTGAGTTCACTTGCGGTGTGACTTGGGTAAAGTACAAAGTGTTGCCAGCTCAGAACAGCCGGTCCATGTTGGAGACGCCACAGAACATTCCAGAATCAATACATTTTTATGATTGGATTATTTCTCCTCCTGAGCGATGACTGTAACAACCTTTGCTCTTAAACTGTTTTCATTTTCAAACTGTCAATCGTTCCCTGCACTTTTTACTTGTTTCATGTCTGTGCTTGTCTGGTGCACACTGGGGACTCTTGCACGTGTATTCCAATGTGGTTTTACTGCAAAGGGCAAATAAAATGAATCTGAATCTGAACCTGTTGTGTTGCCAGATCTGGTGCCTGGGGAACGAGAGCCGCTACCACGTAAACCACACGGTGGACGGATCCACGCTCTCGGTGCTGGTCCCGGGGCTGGCCCCTGGGATCCGCTACAGTCTGGAGGTGGCGGCCAGCACAGGGGCGGGGCCCGGGGTCCACAGCGAGCCCACCTACTTCACACTCGGTAAGACTGCTCAAGGGTCATACTCTGCTCTCTAATTATGTCACCATCAGGATCTGTTGCACAAGCACAGACATCTTGGACAGACCAGGGGCAGACATCTTGGAGAGACCGGAGGCAGACATCTTGGAGATACCAGGGGCAGACATCTTGGAGAGACCAGGGGCAGACATCTTGGAGAGACCAGAGGCAGACATCTTGGAGAGACCAGGGGCAGACATCTTGGAGAGACCAGGGGCAGACATCTTGGAGAGACCAGAGGCAGACATCTTGGAGAGACCAGAGGCAGACATCTTGGAGAGACCTGAGGCAGACATCTTGGAGAGACCTGAGGCAGACATCTTGGAGATACCAGGGGCAGACATCTTGGAGAGACCGGAGGCAGACATCTTGGAGAGACCTGAGGCAGACATCTTGGAGATACCAGGGGCAGACATCTTGGAGAGACCAGGGGCAGACATCTTCGACAGACCAGGGGCAGACATCTTCGACAGACCAGGGGCAGACATCTTGGAGAGACCAGGGGCAGACATCTTGGAGAGACCAGGGGCAGACATCTTGGAGAGACCGGAGGCAGACATCTTGGAGATACCAGGGGGCAGACATCTTAGAGAGATCAGGGGTAGACATCTTGGAGAGACCAGGGGGCAGACATCTTGGAGAGACCAGGGGGCAGACATCTTGGAGAGACCAGAGGCAGACATCTTGGAGAGACCAGAGGCAGACATCTTGGAGAGACCAGAGGCAGACATCTTGGAGAGACCAGAGGCAGACATCTTGGAGAGACCAGAGGCAGACATCTTGGAGAGACCAGGGGCAGACATCTTAGAGAGACCAGGGGGCAGACATCTTGGAGAGACCAGGGGGCAGACATCTTGGAGTTGACCAGGGGGCAGACATCTTGGAGAGACCGGGGACGGCGATCTTGGAGAGACCAGGGCAGACATCTTGGAGAGACCAGAGGCAGACATCTTAGAGAGATCAGGGGTAGACATCTTGGAGATACCAGGGGCAGACATCTTGGAGAGACCGGAGGCAGACATCTTGGAGATACCAGGGGCAGACATCTTAGAGAGACCAGGGGGCAGACATCTTGGAGAGACCAGGGGCAGACATCTTGGAGAGACCAGGGGGCAGACATCTTGGAGAGACCAGGGGGCAGACATCTTGGAGAGACCAGGGGCAGACATCTTGGAGAGACCAGAGGCAGACATCTTGGAGAGACCAGGGACTTGACTTTGCGTCGTCAATAGTTTCTTTACTTATAGACCGTACTAAAGTGTATTTTGGTCGGAGAATTACGTTAATCTGCTGAAGTCAGACTGTCGCCTCTTGCCAGCACTAGAGACAAAAACTCATTGTGCTTCCAAAGTTTCTGCCTGAGGGAAAGATTACACACAAATTCACTTGACAAATCACACAGCAGTGGGTCCAACCGGAGGCCGTTTGGTTTCCCTGACTCAGAGCCAGGCCAATTACACAGGCACTTTGGTAACAGTAGCAGCGGCGACAGGAGCCGACCTGCCCGAGAACACAGTGGAGGGATTAGGTTCTGTAAACACACTCACAGTAACTGCTCCTTTAATAACACATGATTGACTTCACATCTGAGTGGGATCAATGCAGAGGCGAGTGTCAATCAGAGGCAGAAGTCTCACGCCACCTTCTCGGTCTCATTAAATCCCGCTGCCGCTGTGTCCTCGGGCAACGCGCTCTGTCTCAGTGGGAGGCGAACGACGCAGCTCTACAGAATGAGGTCCCGACGGCGTTCCCCTCACACTCTCCAGATTATAGTCTTGTAACCATGGTAACAAGACGGCTGTTTTCTCATTGCAGTGTTCAGTGTCTCCTTTACTTTAGGCCAGTCTTTCTCTAATAATAATGGGGCGGGGCCTCAGGGGGGGTGGGGGGATACAGGCGACCAGCTCTTGCTCTCCAAACTAGATTCCACATCCTCCGCTCCATCCTGACCCCTGGAGCACATGCAGCCGCTTTGTAGTGGATGTAGCGGCTCCACATCCTCATGTCAGCTCACCTCCTCTCTCCTCTCTCCTCTCTCCTCTCTCCTCTCTCCTCTCTCCTCTATAACCTCTCTCTCCTTTCCTCTCCTCAGCTAACTTAACTCACCTCACCTCCTCTTTCCTCCTCTCTCCTCACCTCTCCTCCTCTCTCCTCACCTCTCCTCCTCTCTCCTCAGCTCTTCTTGTCTCGTCTCCTCCTCTCTCCTCTGCTCACCTCTCGTCTCTCTCCTCACCTCTTCTCTTCTCGGCTTTCCTCCTCTCCTCCCCTCCTTTAGCGCTCCCCTTTCTCCTGTCTGAATCATTATGGTGTTTTCGGCCCCTCGACAAGTCTCTGGTCTGTTTCTGGTCTCTCTCTGGTCTCTCTCTGGTCTCTCTCTGGTTTCTCTCTGGTCTCTGTAGTCTCTCTCTGGTCTCTCTCTGGTCTCTCTCTCTCTGGTCTCTCTCTGGTCTCGCTCTGGTCTCTCTCTGATCTCTCTCTGGTCTCGCTCTGGTCTCTCTCTGGTCTCTCTCTCTCTGGTCTCTCTCTGGTCTCTCTCTGGTCTCTCTCTCTCTGGTCTCTCTCTGGTCTCTCTCTGGTCTCGCTCTGGTCTCTCTCTGATCTCTCTCTGGTCTCGCTCTGGTCTCTCTCTGGTCTCTCTCTCTGGTCTCTCTCTGGTCTCTTTCTCTGGTCTCTCTCTCTGGTCTCTCTCTGGTCTCTCTCTGGTCTCGCTCTGGTCTCTCTGGTCTCTCTCTGGTCTCTCTCTGTAGTCTCTCTCTGGTCTCTCTCTGGTCTCTCTCTGGTCTCTCTCTGGTCTCTCTCTGGTCTCTCTCTGGTCTCTTTCTGGTCTCTCTCTCTGGTCTCTCTCTCTGGTCTCTCTCTGGTCTCTCTCTGGTCTCTCTCTGGTCTCTCTGGTCTCTCTGGTCTCTCTCTCTGGTCTCTCTCTGGTCTCTATCTGGTCTCTCTCTGGTCTCTCTCTCTCTGGTCTCTCTCTCTCTGGTCTCTCTCTGGTCTCTCTCTGGTCTCTCTCTCTCTGGTCTCTCTCTGGTCTCTCTCTGGTCTCGCTCTGGTCTCTCTCTGATCTCTCTCTGGTCTCGCTCTGGTCTCTCTCTGGTCTCTCTCTCTGGTCTCTCTCTGGTCTCTCTCTGGTCTCTCTCTGGTCTCTCTCTGGTCTCTCTCTCTGGTCTCTCTCTGGTCTCTCTCTGGTCTCTCTCTGGTCTCTCTCTGGTCTCTCTCTGGTCTCGCTCTGGTCTCTCTGGTCTCTCTCTGGTCTCTCTGTAGTCTCTCTCTGGTCTCTCTCTGGTCTCTCTCTGGTCTCTCTCTTGTCTCTCTCTGGTCTCTCTCTCTGGTCTCTCTCTCTGGTCTCTCTCTGGTCTCTCTCTGGTCTCTCTCTGGTCTCTCTCTGGTCTCTCTGGTCTCTCTCTAGCGAACAGGGAAAAACGCTCCGGCTCTCCTCAGGGGCCATTTTTCAAAAGAGACAGTCTTCACGGCTGCTTCTGTTCGTCCAGGCCCCAGGATCTAACATGTTCGGAGTCAGGATGTGTACAATAGTGGCCCCATATCATAATTATTATATTATGTGTTCTGCTGGAACTGTCTCGGGGTGAAAGGAAAAAAAAATAAAAAATGTTTGACTGAAAATGTGTAGTTTAACACTTTAGGCACCAGCGTTTTACTAAGACATGTACTGGGAAAGTAAAGGTGACACTATGTAACTTCAAAGCAGACAGAGGACAAATCTTACCTCATATTTTATCATGTGTACGTTAATTCAATTCTATTTTTCCATACATCCATTTTCTTCCGCTTCATCCGTTGCCGAGTCTAAGCAGAGACAGCCACACTTCCCTATCCACACTTCCTCCTGCTATTTTTCTGTTGCCCTAAATCACAACAGCACTTTTTCTCGTTCAATAAACAGTTTAAACACAAGAAATGAAATGATGAAGAACACATAGAGCCTTTGGTCCATAAGGAACAGAGAAGAGTCCATACGTGTGCAGGGTCCTGGGTCCTGTCCGTCCTCAGACCCTCCTGCATCAGAGGAAGTGACTGTGTGAGTAGAGACTCTGCTGCTGTCTGTGGTGTTGGGATAATGACATTCAGATGAGACGGGAGATAAATCAGAGCCTCAGCCCCGGAGCTGGAGCAGTTTTACTGGTCCTGCTCCATCAGCTCCACAGCAGCGAGACCAGAGGCTTAAGAAGGACATAAACTATACTGAGGAATCTGCAGCAGGAAGGACCCAGTTCAACATACATACACATATACATACACATATACACACACAGATACATACATACACATATACATACACAGATACATACATACACAGATACATACATACACACATACATACACAGATACATACATACACATATACATACACAGATACATACATACACAGATACATACATACACATATACACACACAGATACATACATACACATATACATACACAGATACATACATACACAGATACATACATACACACATACATACACAGATACATACATACACATATACATACACAGATACATACATACACAGATACATACATACACAGATACATACACAGATACATACATACACAGATACATACATACACATATACATACATACACAGATACATACATACACAGATACATACATACACAGATACATACATACACATATACATACATACATACACATATACATACATACACAGATACATACATACACATATACATACATACACAGATACATACATACACAGATAAATACATACATACACATATACATACATACACAAATACATACATACACATATACATACATACACATATACATACACAGATACATACATACACAGATACATACATACACATATACATACATACATACACATATACATACATACACAGATACATACATACACATATACATACATACACATATACATACATACACAGATACATACATACACATATACATACATACATACACATATACATACATACACAGATACATACATACACATATACATACATACACATATACATACATACATACACATATACATACATACATACACAGATACATAATTACACATATACATACATACATACACAGATACATACATACACATACACAGATACATACATACACAGATACATACACAGATACAAACATACACAGATACAAACATACACAGATACATACATACACAGATACATACACAGATACATACATACACATATACATACATACACATATACATACATACACAGATACGTACATACAGATACATACATACACAGATACGTACATACAGATGCATACATACACATATACATTTACATACATACATACATACTCAGATACATACATACACAGATACATACATACACAGATACATTTACATACATACATACATACTCAGATACATACATACACAGATACATACATACACAGATACATACATACACACACAGATACACTTATACATACATACATACACAGATACATACATACATACACAGATACATACTTGTGCACCGCTAGCATGTACATTGCACTGGTCTGTTGGACTTGGTTGGACAATATTATGGTATACTAAAATACTCCTCACTGTTCTCAGGTCAAATATTTATATGCAATTAATTTGTATTGATTAATTACAAAGGCTAATTAATTATATATATTTTTTTTTTAATCAAATCCCAGCCCTAGTTATACATGTATTAGTAATTGTACTTCAGATAATCCTTGTGTGAACTCTGCAGAGTCTAAAACATACAAATACATGTTTTAAAGGACGTGCAGATCCAGGGCTGACTCTCACTAAAGGAAATCTTTGACTAATTGTAAAAACACACTTTCTGCCGTTGTCCATAATTGCCTTCAGAATCGTGTCTCTCCTCCGCTCTCTGATCTGCAGCTCTGGTCATCATTAAAAGATTAAAGATTGTGTTGTGAAAGTCTCTGGAAATCAAATTGGAAAGTTGGGAGCCCTGAAGTCTGTGCTGGAGTTGGGCAAAAAATCCCATATTTCTGGTTTCTGAGGGAGATTGAATTTTTATCAAGCACAGGGCTGATCACAGTGGGGGGTGGGGGTCGGGGGCACTGATCTGCTGAGCCAGTGTTCCTTCTAACCCGAGTGGAGATTTGCTGCAAGTCTATTATCCTCTCCGCTCTCCGCCGGGGAATTGGACTCACGAGGACGGCCGTCTTTGAGGGAAAATAAAAAAAACACATGAAAATGGAAGGAGAGAATTTGAAAGGAGCAGCGTAAAAGCAGCGAGCAGAGACTTATGCAAGAGTGGATCTGCGGACTGCAACGGCTGACGTCACCAACGCCAAGAAGTGCAGAACGACAGATTCCACGCTTTAATGGCTTCAATCAAACTGTTGCATAAACGAGAGAGAGGAGCAAATGGAAGTCTGGAGGTGGAAGTCTGCAGTCGATGAGCTGAGGGATTTAGGTGCAGTATATAGAGTTGTCTTTTTATTGTGATGAAAACGTGATGAAGACTTCTAATTTACATTTACAATCAGTCACTCTTTCAGAACTAATCAATCTGACTGTTGTGGGTGGTCTTGTGTTTAACAAACTCCCAAGCAGCAGTGAGTCAGACCGGAGAAGTTGACCCTTACGTCCACTCCACACCACTGCTGTTTAGAGCTGCCCTTTGGCTGAGCCTCCACCTCCCGCTGTCTGTAGCTGCACCACCCTCAAGCTCCCTCTCTCTCTCTCTCTCTCTCTCTCTCTCTCTCTCTCTCTCTCTCTCTCTCTCTCTCTCTCTCTCTCCTGGGCGTGTGCCATTGTAAACGCCTCATGCCAGTTCTGCCCACATTAGCCGACTGTTCGTGCTGAGTGCTGCCAAATGCCGCGTTGTGGTTGGCGATCTGCGAGCGTGCTGGTTTGACTGCTGGTATAAGTGCTGGTATTCTCAGTGCTGTTATTCTCAGTGCTGTTATTCTCAGTGCTGGTATTCTCAATGCTGTTATTCTCAATGCTGGTATTCTCAGTGCTGTTATTCTCAGTGCTGTTATTCTCAGTGCTGGTATTCTCAGTGCTGGTATTCTCAGTGCTGGTATTCTCAGTGCTGGTATTCTCAGTGCTGGTATTCTCAGTGCTGGTATTCTCAGTGCTGGTGTTCTCAGTGCTGGTATTCTCAGCCGACTGTTCGTGCTGAGTGCTGCCAAATGCCGCGTTGTGGTTGGCGATCTGCGAGCGTGCTGGTTTGACTGCTGGTATAAGTGCTGGTATTCTCAGTGCTGGTATTCTCAGTGCTGGTATTCTCAATGCTGGTATTCTCAGTGCTGTTATTCTCAGTGCTGTTATTCTCAGTGCTGGTATTCTCAATGCTGTTATTCTCAATGCTGGTATTCTCAGTGCTGTTATTCTCAGTGCTGTTATTCTCAGTGCTGGTATTCTCAGTGCTGGTATTCTCAGTGCTGGTATTCTCAGTGCTGGTATTCTCAGTGCTGGTGTTCTCAGTGCTGGTATTCTCAGCCGACTGTTCGTGCTGAGTGCTGCCAAATGCCGCGTTGTGGTTGGCGATCTGCGAGCGTGCTGGTTTGACTGCTGGTATAAGTGCTGGTATTCTCAGTGCTGGTATTCTCAGTGCTGGTATTCTCAATGCTGGTATTCTCAGTGCTGTTATTCTCAGTGCTGTTATTCTCAGTGCTGGTATTCTCAATGCTGGTAATCTCAGTGCTGTTATTCTCAGTGCTGTTATTCTCAGTGCTGTTATTCTCAGTGCTGGTATTCTCAGTGCTGGTATTCTCAGTGCTGGTATTCTCAGTGCTGGTATTCTCAGTGCTGGTGTTCTCAGTGCTGGTATTCTCAGTGCTGGTGTTCTCAGTGCTGGTATTCTCAGTGCTGGTATTCTCAGTGCTGGTATTCTCAGTGCTGGTGTTCTCAGTGCTGGTATTCTCAGTGCTGGTATTCTCAGTGCTGGTGTTCTCAGTGCTGGTATTCTCAGTGCTGTTATTCTCAGTGCTGGTATTCTCAGTGCTGTTATTCTCAGTGCTGGTATTCTCAATGCTGGTGTTCTCAGTGCTGGTGTTCTCAGTGCTGGTATTCTCAGTGCTGGTTTCTCAGTGCTGGTATTCTCAGTGCTGGTGGCTGCACATGTGAAAGCAGGACTCAGAGAGAAGGACGTGGTTCATGTATCAGATTATCAGACATGGCTCTGTGTCTGTTTTCATGATGTAACGTGAGAATCGTCCAAAAGCAGCGACAGAGCGGTCTCTGTGTGAAGCAGGAACCAGAAACACAGCTTTGGGTCAGGACCAAACCTTTGTGGCCTCCGCAAAACAGTGATTCTGTTCAGCAGAATATATGTGAGAGTGGAGTAGAGCTTCCATGTCACAACTAATGGAGAGAGACCAGAGAGAGACCAGAAAGAGACCAGAGTGAGACCAGAAAGAGACCAGAAAGAGACCAGAGAGAGACCAGAGAGAGACCAGAGAGAGACCAGAGAGAGACCAGAGAGAGACCAGAGAGAGACCAGAGAGAGACCAGAGAGAGACCAGAGAGAGACCAGAGAGAGACCAGAGAGAGACCAGAGAGAGACCAGAGAGACACCAGAGAGAGACCAGAGAGAGACCAGAGAGAGACCAGAGAGAGACCAGAGAGAGACCAGAGAGAGACCAGAGAGAGACCAGAGAGAGACCAGAGAGAGACCAGAGTGAGACCAGAGTGAGACTAGAGAGAGACCAGAGAGAGACCAGAGAGAGACCAGAGAGAGACCAGAGAGAGACCAGAGAGAGACCAGAGTGAGACCAGAGTGAGACCAGAGTGAGACCAGAGTGAGACCAGAGTGAGACCAGAGAGAGACCAGAGAGAGACCAGAGTGAGACCAGAGTGAGACCAGAGTGAGACCAGAGAGAGACCAGAGAGAGACCAGAGAGAGACCAGAGAGAGACCAGAGAGAGACCAGAGAGAGACCAGAGAGAGAGAGACCAGAGAGAGACCAGAGAGAGACCAGAGAGAGACCAGAGAGAGACCAGAGAGAGACCAGAGAGAGACCAGAGGGAACCCAGAGAGAGACGTCCGTATTGTCCGTACACACACATCCTCTGCTCCGGTGTCGGCTCACAGTGTGGTGCTCTTCCAGGCTCCATGCTGAATGGTTGGGGGTCGGCCTCTGAGGAGGAGGGGCCCCTGTCCAGGTCCAGTCTGGGCAGTTCCTCAGAGGGCTCCATCTTCACACACTGCTCCTTCGCTCAGGCCCTGGTGGTGGCAGCAGACCGGGCCGGATTCAGGCTGGAGGGCACCAGTCTGAGCAAGAGAGGTGTGACTTCTGTGTTTAAGGCCCCACTGCTCTGTCTTAGGGCCTGCTGCTCTGTCCTGGGGCCTCTGCTCTGTCATGGGGCCTCCTTGCTCTGTCCTGGGGCGTCTCCTCTGTCCTGGGGCCCGCTGCTCTTTCCAGGGGCCTCGGCTCTGTCCTGGAGCCCACTGATGCCTTGTTTGTTTGGTTTTCTGAGGTCTCTACTGCATGAAAAAACAGATCTATTTTGATAAAAATGTAATGTAAATGCACATTTCTGTCATGTGTCATGTTTATTGAGATATTATTTCTGACTTTCTAAAACATGAGAAATGTTTAAGAGGCTAAATCATAACAAACCGAATGAAATGTCTCCCCTCTCCATCTGCCCTCGACTCTACTCAGCCCTACTCTGCCTGCAGAAGCCACACACTAACATGCTGCTATGTTCTCTCACACTAACTCCCTCTCTGCAGACTTCTCCACCTCCTCCTCCCTCCTTCTCCTCCCTCCTCCTCCCCCTCCTCCTCCTCCCCCTCCTCCTCCTCCTCCCTCCTCCTCCTCCTCCTCTCTGATGTGTTCTGCTAGTCTCTTGTTCTCACACTAACAGCGTCTTGTCTGTGGTCGTAGGTAAAGCCTTGTCCCATCGGCCGCGCCCCAGCAGCCCCTTCTCCACAGACGGCAGCACAGGGGGGTCCCACAGTCTCGGGCCCCCACGGAACCCCAGAACCCCACGCAAGGGCCGCACTCCCGGGACCACCCCGCACCGGAGGGACCCTGCTGCAGACGGTGAGGGCCACAGTCACCTACTGGGAGAAAAACCTTTCTGATGAACACTTTCACACTTTCTTCATGAATCAGGATTTTCACATTTTCTTTTTATTTCACCATTTTATAAACTCTAATTTAATTCGAAAAATTTAAAAAGATGTGTAGTAACTTATAAATATCTACATGTTGTGGCAGACCTACCTCCTCCTCCAGAGCCCCCTCCATGCCAGGGCCAGGGCCGGATCCAGGGGCCCCGCAGTGTGGTGGCCCCGAGCGACAGGAAGGCGACTTCCCTGGAGCGGCCCCCCATGTCTGGGCCCCTAGAGCACCATCGACAGGTCCAGGAGAGGCTGGGCTCCATGGACCGCTGTGAAGACCCCCGCAGAGCTCACAAAACAGGTGAGGGCCCTCAAAGCAGGTCCCAGTCCCAAGCCCCCAGGCCTCCCCCCCTGGGAGCCGCCATGAAATTTACAATGGGACAGCATGTGAATAGCAATGAACAGACTACAGGTGTCATAATGATGACAGATAAAGTAGGAGGAGGAGAAGATCGGGCTGTTACCAAACCTCTCCAGAAAATTGACTCCAAACGTAGCTTTACGGACAATCTGTCAGTTTAGACTTAAGGTTATATTTTTAGTCTTCCCCGAGTCTTACCCCCAGAACCATCTGCTAAATTAAAGACACTGTTTTAAGCCTGGCCTTGAATGTAGAGACTGTCATCACTTCTGTCTTCTCCGAGTTAAGGGGCAGATAGTTTTGAGTCATCCACCTCTTTAGGTCTTCTCCGCAGCTCTAGGCCAGGTCTAGGTCTAGGTATAGGCCAGGTCTAGGTCTAGGCCAGGTCTAGGTCTAGGCCAGGTCTAGGTCTAGGTCTGATTTGGTGTCATCGACAGTAAAACTGTCTGCAGCTGTGGAAGTTAATTCCATGATTTTAAATGATGTTCCTAAGGACAGCATGTAGAGAGTGAAATGAATCGGTCCGAGTGCCGATCCTTGTGGCACACCAGATTTTACTTTAGAATAGGGCGAGGAGTTTTCAACAATAAAATAAGCAGGAGGCCGGTCCCTGTGCTCCCCTGAGTCCCTGTTGGCTCTTATGGTGCTAACATGTCACAGATAGATGTGCTTTGGTGCCAGAGACGGCAGGTGAAAAGGTAAATGGTTGGAGGAACTACTCACCCAGACACACTCATCCATACTCCGGGGTTTGGAGCTGGCATTTGTTTGTGGGAGCTGGAACACCCCTCCCTGCCTCCCCTTCCTTCCTCCCTCCCCTCCCTCTCCTCACCCTTCCCTCTCCTCATCCAGTGTGACCTTCAGCGCTGCCTCCCTCTGCATCTGTTTTCCTCTTCGTCACAAAGAGCAGATGGATAATAGACACCCATAAATCCAGCATCAACCAATGGCTTTATACCTGCATGCCTACACACACACACAAACACGCACGCACACTTACACACATACACTTACACACACTCACACACACACACACACACACACACACACACATAAATACACACACACACATACACACACATAAATACACACACACACATAATCACACACACACACACAAAACACTTACACACAAATACATACACGTGCACACAAAGACACACACTCTCACATGTATTTTAGTGTAGAGTAATTGTTCATGTGTCTTGCTGTGTGCGTCTCATTGGTACCTGTCTGTTGTGATGCAACACTGACATTTCCCTTGCTCTGGGACCAATAATCAGATTCCAATGAAGTGGTCAAACAAAGTCAATTCAGATTATCAAACACCTGTGTCTTTGTTTTGTTCTGCTGAATGAAAAATATAAGTTTGAAATCAACTCTTGCTTCAGATAAAGTATCTTCAAATGTGTAAATATAGAGAGTCATAGATTGTCGGTGACGAAGAGGAGGCTCGCTCTGATCTTGGTGCTCTCTGAACGCCGCAGTGATCACTTCCACCACGATCGAATCCACAAAGTCCAATTGGATTTGAGGAAGGTTGAGCAGCAGGTATCAGACGGACACTTGAGTCGAGAGAGGTGCATGCTGGGATGAGAGGGGGCCCCACCGGCAGATTGCACTGTCTGCCACCCCCCCGCTAGCCCCCCCCTGCTGGCCGCGCCCTGGTCCAGACTCTGAGTGGCGACACAAACACACCATCTGTGAGCAGTTCTGTTCTCTACACGTGTCAAACTGTTTCAGCCTCTCCGTCGCCATGGAGACCAAGGCAAGAATTGTGAAGTATCATTACGTCTTAATTCACTTAAATCACACTAAAGATCCCGGATCAGCCACTCAGCAGAGGATTGGCACCACTTAAACCTGTAGCACCCTCATTTACAGAAAGTCCAAAGATTATGGCAAAAGAAGTCTGACGTTTTGGTTTCATTAATGCATTAACTATTGCATGCACCCAAGAAACAAAGAAGCTAATAGGCTACCAAAAATAGCACGGATAAATCTTGTCCGCATATATATTTTCTGTCTGGGTTCCACGAGGTTGGAGCTGCAGGATCTCTTTAAAACCACAAAAACAATGTGAAGAAATCCCTCCTGCAGCTTTCAGAACAGTTTGGATCCATCTCTGTATCTGTAGTCTCCACGTGCACGTGTTCTGGGGCCTCTGTCACGGCTTTTTCAGACAGAAAAGTGAATCGTGTCTCATCTCGAAGCCGTCTCTGCTCCTGCCCTGGGATCAGAGCACATGAGCCCCTCGCTGCCTCCTCCAGGTCGCTCTGTGAGAGACTGAGGACGTGTGGAGCATCTCACTGTCGTACAATCTTTGTGCAGGGCTTACACAGAGTCTGTGTGTGTCTCCTCCTCGTCCAATAGGAACCACAGATTTACTGAGTAACCGATATAACCCTGTCACTGGCCTAAGTTTGTAGTCAGTGTTGACCTTTGGATCAATATCTATAATAATATCTATTTTGTCGTATATAATATATCTGTGTTAGAGATTAAATGTTATTATTATACAGTTTTTTACAGACAAAGCACAACATCTCTTTATAAAACATAATTATGACATATACATATACTGGGATTTGTTATTAGTGATTTAACAAATATGTCGCTAATGGCTTCATTAATGGAAAAACTGCAAATGTAAAGCCACTTATTGAAGCTAATGAACACACTCATTTGCATAATTAGTCCTCCTAAACAAAGCTAATGTTGACATTGGTGCAGGACAAAGGCAGTTCCTCACAGCGGCCTCCAGGGGGCGGAGCCATTACCGTGATTAGTGCACCAGCGGGGGGCGCAATTACCCCCTCACAGACAAATGATTGTCCGGCCCTGGCAGTGTATCTGTGTGTGTCTGTGTGTGTGTGTGTGTGTGTGTGTGTGTGTGTGTATGTGTGTGTGTGTGTGTGTGTGTGTGTGAGTGTGTGTATGTGAGTGTGTGTGTGTGTATGTGAGTGAGTGTGTGTGTGTGTGTGTGTGTGTGTGTGTGTGTGTGTGTGTGTGTGTGTGTGTGTGTGTGTGTATGTGAGTGTGTGTGTGTGTATGTGAGTGAGTGAGTGTGTGTGTGCGTGTGTGTGTCTGTGTATGTGTGTGTGTGTGTGTGTGTGTGTGTGTGTGTGTGTGTGTGTGTGTGTGTATGTGTGTGTGTGAGTGTGTGTGTGTGTATGTGAGTGAGTGTGTGTGTGTGTGCGTGTGTGTGTGTGTGTGTATGTGTGTGTGTGTGTGTGTGTGTGTGTGTGTGTGTGTGTGTGTGTATGTGTGTGTGTGTGTGTGTGTATGTGAGTGTGTGTGTGTGTGTATGTGAGTGAGTGTGTGTGTGTGTGTGTGTGTGTGTGTGTGTATGTGTGTGTGTGTGTGTGTGTATGTGAGTGTGTGTGTGTGTATGTGAGTGAGTGAGTGTGTGTGTGCGTGTGTGTGTCTGTGTATGTGTGTGTGTGTGTGTGTGTGTGTGTGTGTGTGTAGTGTGTGTGTGTGTGTGTGTGTATGTGAGTGTGTGTGTGTGTATGTGAGTGAGTGAGTGTGTGTGTGTGTGTCTGTGTATGTGTGTGTGTGTGAGTGTGTGTGTCCGGTCCTGGCAGTGTGCGTTGGCAGCCACAGTGCGCACATGGGGCCATCAGATGCCTGAGGAACATCACAAACAGGACTCAGACTCAGACTCAGACTCAGGCTCAGACTCAGACTCAGACTCAGACTCAGACTCAGGCTCAGACTCAGACTCAGACTCAGACTCAGGCTCGGGCTCGGGCTCGGGCTCGGGCTCGGGCTCGGGCTCGGGCTCGGGCTCAGACTCAGACTCAGACTCAGACTCAGGCTCAGACTCAGAGTGTGTGTCTTAGAAACAAACCCAGACACAGAGATGATCCGTATCACCTCCAAAACTTCTTAACTCGTTCCATCTCTGTACTTCACTGAAAATATTCTCAGCAAATAACAAACATACAAGCCCTTAATATTTAGTGTGCCTTATTATGTTAAAATGCAAATGTTATCCTGTGTAAGTTAGCCACATGCTAACCGCTAACATGCTAACAGCTAACAGGTAACAGGCTGGTCTTGGTGTGTTTCAGAGGAGCCGTGCGTTCCCTACAGTAAGCCCAGCTTCCCGTCCCCCGGGGGCCACAGCTCGTCCGGGACCAGCTCCTCCAAAGGCTCCACGGGGCCCCGCAAGAGCGAGGGCCCCCGGCAGCCGCAGCAGTGGACGGCCCTGGAGCACGCAGACTTCCTGGGGGCCAGTGCACAGGGACACTTCTCAGGAGAGTTATGTGAGTACAGATGACATCACTCCTCCTTCTTTCATCAAATCCTTGAAAAGAAAAAATGTTTGAAAATTGCTCTGCGCTGATGATAAACTTGCCGTAGTTCGTTGTGGTGAAAAGACGACACAGGCCCAAACAACCTGCAGGTCTTTCCCAGTGTTTCCTGGTTTGACACAGCCTTATCATCATGACATCAGGACGGATCTGTTTTACCCACACTCTCCAACAATAACTATTTTAAAACCTTCACAACCACAAATATAATGCCATATAATGCATACCACACATGCCTACACACACACACACATGCCTACACACACACACATGCCTACACACACACTCAAGAGACACACTGGGACCACAGTGGCTCAGTTGGTAGAGGCCTTTGAGCCTGAAGGTTCTGGGTTTGAGTCCACCGCGAGACCTTCTCCACCAACTCCACTGATGTCTGATGTTGTTGTGTCCTTGGGCAAGACACTTTAGCCCACTTTGCCTTTAAGGAGCGCGGGAGTAATATTGTGTTACCGTCTCCTGACTGTTGTGTTACCATCTCCTGACTGTTGTTACAGTCTCCTGACTGTTGTGTTACCGTCTCCTGACTGTTGTGTTACCGTCTCCTGACTGTTGTGTTACCGTCTCCTGACCTCTGCTCTGTTGTGTTACTGTCTCCTGACTGTTGTGTTATCATCTCCTGACTGTTGTGTTACAGTCTCCTGACTGTTGTGTTACAGTCTCCTGACTGTTGTGTTATCATCTCCTGACCTCTGACCTCTGCTCTGTTGTGTTTGCAGAGTGACTCCGTGGCTCTGCAGGTGGCGCCCCCTGCTGGTGGTGGACAGCTCTGTGTGCGTGGGGTCCACTGTAAATGCCCTCCACCTCCTGCTGTTTGCCCCACGGCACAGAGACCTTTGACCTCTGACCTTCTGTAAATACGTTGTGGCATCGCTATGCAAGCCAACTCCAGCTCCAGCGCTGTTCTGGCTTCTTTATCCTCTGCGTGGGAGGAGTGGCTGTCGTGCCATAGAACATTGTTTTCTAATCAGTGTCTGTTACGGTCCTTTTCATGACGCTGCAAAAACACATCTGGGAAACTTTGGGAAACTTTGAGAAACTTTGAGAAACTTTGGGAGCGATTTAAAGCAAAGATGATTTTTGAGTTTTTGAGTTTCTTCTCGTCATTATTGAGTCCATGGAGCTGGAGTCTCCAACCTGTTTCACCCAGAGAGCTACTGTCCCGGTTCCATAAAGGCAGAGAGCTACTGTCCCGGGATCATAAAGACAGAGAGCTACTGTCCCGGGACCATAAAGGCAGAGAGCTACTGTCCCGGTTCCATAAAGGCAGAGAGCTACTGTCCCGGTTCCATAAAGACAGAGAGCTACTGTCCCGGGACCATAAAGACAGAGAGCTACTGTCCCGGGACCATAAAGACAGAGAGCTACTGTCCCGGGACCATAAAGACAGAGAGCTACTGTCCCGGGTCCATAAAGGCAGAGAGCTACTGTCCCGGTTCCATAAAGGCAGAGAGCTACTGTCCCGGTTCCATAAAGGCAGAGAGCTACTGTCCCAGTTCCATAAAGACAGAGAGCTACTGTCCCGGTTCCATAAAGGCAGAGAGCTACTGTCCCGGTTCCATAAAGGCAGAGAGCTACTGTCCCGGTTCCATAAAGGCAGAGAGCTACTGTCCCGGTTCCATAAAGGCAGAGAGCTACTGTCCCGGTTCCATAAAGGCAGAGAGATACTGTCCCGGAACCATAAAGGCAGAGAGCTACTGTCCCGGTTCCATAAAGGCAGAGAGCTACTGTCCCGGTTCCATAAAGGCAGAGAGCTACTGTCCCGGTTCCATAAAGGCAGAGAGCTACTGTCCCGGGACCATAAAGGCAGAGAGCTACTGTCCCGGTTCCATAAAGGCAGAGAGCTACTGTCCCGGGACCATAAAGACAGAGAGCTACTGTCCCGGGACCACAAAGACAGAGAGCTACTGTCCCGGGACCACAAAGACAGAGAGCTACTGTCCCGGGACCATAAAGACAGAGAGCTACTGTCCCGGGACCACAAAGACAGAGAGCTACTGTCCCGGGACCACAAAGACAGAGAGCTACTGTCCCGGGACCATAAAGACAGAGAGCTACTGTCCCGGGACCATAAAGACAGAGAGCTACTGTCCCGGGACCATAAAGGCAGAGAGCTACTGTCTCGGGACCACAAAGACAGAGAGCTACTGTCCCGGGACCATAAAGGCAGAGAGCTACTCCTCTAATATTGGTGTGAACGAGTCTGATATCGGGAACTTTAATTATTTATCATCACATATTAGTTACTAGTGCATTTACAAATAACAAACAATTATAATGAATTATACAATCTGAATTATTCTATGTTAAAACTGTGGCCAAAAGTGGTACTGCAGCCTCTCCCACTCTCCCTGACTCAGGTTGCCAGATATGCAGACGAATCCAGCTGGGACCATAACAGCTGAATAGACAAGAGTTTTGTCAACAACAAATCTATAACCAACACCTTTTTCACAAAGATAGAAATCCTGCTTTTATTCCTTGTTTTGTCGTTAATGATTTGAGAATCTTAACAAGGCCTTTTTTAGTTCTACGCCACATGGTACTTTACCAGTGAGATTAGTTCCACATGGTACTTTACCAGTGACATTAGCTCTGGCGCCCGGATCACAGACTTTCTGATTGGTGAAACGGTGGAGGGCGGGACATCGAAATGAAAACAATAACAAGATTTAGGGGCTGGAAAAGTAATTTATAAATTCAAATATCAGTTAAAGAAGTATTGGAAAAGAGCAGATTATTATTATGACAGATTAGGGCCCTTTAATGATGACAGATTAGGGCCCTTTAATTATGACAGATTAGGGCCCTTTAATGATGACAGATTAGGGCCCTTTAATGATGACATATTAGGGCCCTTTAATGATGACAGATTAGGGCCCTTTAATGATGACAGATTAGGGCCCTTTAATGATGACAGATTAGGGCCCTTTGATGATGACAGATTAGGGCCCTTTAATGGTTCCTACAGGTTGGAGAGCCCGGCCTTAGAGACACACCTGAACTCTGGTGGTTTTGAGACAGATGTGTTTTTGCAGCGTTTTCATGATTATTTGTGTTGTTTTTTTGCACTTCTCGGTGAAAAGCACAAACACGTCGCTCCTGCTGACATGAAGAACGCTCTGATGTAAACATCATGAATATAGACATGTACAGAGAAATATTACAGAGAACGCTTAGAGACGGGTCCAGGTCCAGAGGGGCCCAGGTCCAGACGGGCCCAGGTCCAGAGGGGCCCAGGTCCAGAGGGGCCCAGGTCCAGACGGGCCCAGGCTCCGGTTTTCCTTCTATTTATGTCAAAGGGACTCGCTGCTCCACTGCTGCTGCACAGGAGACCTCAGGAGAGACCAGCTTTGGACCAGAGACTGAGGCTGTAGACCCAGGACTGAGGCTGTAGATCCAGGACTGAGGCTGTAGACCCAGGACTGAGGCTGTAGATCCAGGACTGAGGCTGTAGACCCAGGACTGAGGCTGTAGACCCAGGACTGAGGCTGTAGACCCAGGACTGAGGCTGTAGATCCAGGACTGAGGCTGTAGACCCAGGACTGAGGCTGTAGATCCAGGACTGAGGCTGTAGATCCAGGACTGAGGCTGTAGACCCAGGACTGAGGGCTGTAGATCCAGGACTGAGGCTGTAGACCCAGGACTGAGGCTGTAGACCCAGGACTGAGGCTGTAGACCCAGGACTGAGACTGTAGACCCAGGACTGAGACCGTAGACCCAGGACTGAGACCGTAGACCCAGGACTGAGGCTGTAGACCCAGGACTGAGGCTGTAGACCCAGGACTGAGGCTGTAGACCCAGGACTGAGGCTGTAGACCCAGGACTGAGGCTGTAGACCCAGGACTGAGACTGTAGACCCAGGACTGAGACCGTAGACCCAGGACTGAGACCGTAGACCCAGCACCAGCCGTGGAGCAGCTTATGTTTACATTAATTTACTTGTGTTTTTAAATTATGATAATTATTTTCTCAAAGCACTTATGTCTTACTTTAGAATATGTAAATTAGGTAAAACAAGCCGTCTGATTGGCTGAAGACCTGCTGACCTCCGTCCCCACTATGACTTGAGCACAGTTTTAGAAGATCATGGGATTGAAGATGAACCGTTCCACTGCCTCCACGGGACGGCTTCACAAAAACCACACTTTTATACCTTTGAATTGTAATCTCTTTGGGCTGTATTTATGCACGAGGTTTATACCAAAAGATGTCCGTCATGTTGCCATTGGATACGGTTTGATTCCCAACAATAACGAGAGGTCATAACGATGCAGTGTCTCTAAAGCCATAACGAAGATCAAGGGATTAAACCAAGTGTGTTTTATAAAAGTAACACAATCGGACCAAATATTAAAACTGTCATAGCCTGGTCTTACTATGTGTAAACTCTGGTCTTACCATGTGTAAACTCTGGTCTTACCATGTGTAAACTCTGGTCTTACCATGTGTAAACTCTGGTCTTACCATGTGTACGTTCAGTAAATGTCACTGAAGCAAAGATGTTGTGGCTCTACTCCCCACGGGCTCCGTTAGCGGCAAAGGAGATGCTAAAGCTAGGCTAAATGCTAAAGCTAGGCTACATGCTAAATGTCTCACTCACTCGGGCTCATTACATTCGTCACAGTAAACTCAGATCCAATGGTTTCAATCTGCAAAAGGAGTTAGCCCCTCCCACCTGTTCACGGAGTCAATGGAGCAGATCCAGACCTTCGTATGAAATGAGTACCATGGTGCGGTAAGACCAGGCTAAAACTGTCCCAATGTTTGTTTCTTGCCGCAGCTGCATGTACGAGACATAAGTTGGTCGTTAATTATGAACGTATTTGACTCGTCGTCCTCTGTTTTCCGAGTGAGGAGTGTATGTTTGTACAGTGTATTATAATAATTAGCAAAAGCAAAACAAACTGATGCAGGATTCTTTTGTTTTTGATAAAAGCCACAATCGAGCCACAACCAGCCATATTACAGTGACTTGAGTGGACGTAAGAAGTGTCTTGCCCATGGACACAGCCTTTTATTTATTCTGTGTTCTATCATTTGCAACCTGGGCGTGTGCTGCGTTCTCTCTCTAAAAGCCATGCACAGAAAAGTAAAGCAGCAATAGGGTTTTTGTGAAGCCGCACCCCCAGCAGGGCCCCAGCAGGGAGCCGCTCCCTCAGACCCCCAGCCGGGACTCGAACCCTCACGCTGCTCTTGTTGTTGCCACTTCATTTGTTTTATGCCTTTAATATGACAACGATCCAAAAATGGTTTTCACGGTGTTTCAGGATTTTGTGCTTTGACTGTTTGTCCTTTTGTACTGATGTTAAGGGGGGGGGGGGGTTGTCCCTATATGGTTCTCACTGCACAAAGACTGCTCCGACCGTCACTGACCACAGGGACGTCCCAGATCCACTCTGGCCCCACTCTGGCCCCACTCTGGCCCCACTCTGGCCCCACTCTGGCCCCACTCTGGCTCCACTCTGGCCCCACTCTGGCCCCACTCTGGCCCCACTCTGGCCCCACTCTGGCCCCACTCTGGCTCCACTCTGGCTCCACTCTGGCCCCACTCTGGCCCCACTCTGGCCCCACTCTGGCCCCACTCTGGCCCCACTCTGGCCCACTCTGGCTGGCCCACTCTGGCCCCACTCTGGCCCACTCTGGCCCCACTCTGGCCCCACTCTGGCCCCCACTCTGGCCCCACTCTGGCCCCACTCTGGCCCCACTCTGGCCCCACTCTGGCCCCACTCTGGCCCCACTCTGGCCCCACTCTGGCACCAGTCTGGCCCCACTCTGGCCCCACTCTGGCCCCACTCTGGCTCCACTCTGGCCCCACTCTGGCTCCACTCTGGCCCCAC